CTAGAAATTTACACCGAACCATGTCAACACTAGCTGTCGTCGGGTAAAATATTTTTATTAGAAACACAGGTTATACTACTATATATGATATCTTTATCATTGCTGCTTCATCAAATTTCTACCAGGGGCAGCGCATGCTTCCAAGAACTAGGAGACGCCAAATACTGTTTTCTGCTATGTAGTTACGTAATTATATGCAGGTAAAACTTTAAAGTCTTTTTAGAAAGACTGCGTAATTTATCAGGTAGCATTGTTTTTATTGTTTAGTGTGGCTGTTTGCTTTTTGTCACCAGTTTTACAATTTAGCTGTTGTTTTGAAACTATATCTGGTTGAATCAGATTATTTAAACATGAAGCAAACGCCTTCGAAGATGTCTGTTGAGCAAGTAACGACAATTTCATTAGGGCAGGAAATTTTCGCTATGTTTAATGTGCAACATGAGATGGAATGTAGTATATAATTCCAGTGCCAATAATGCCCTCATAACAATAATTTTGTCCTTTCTTAAATAACTAGATATATTATTTCATATTTTTTGATGGAAGTTCTTTCAAACAGGATTTTGATTCTGAATTGTTCAGTGGTCGCTAAAGTACTGTGAATGGTATGGGATAGGTTTTCTGTCACAGTTTTTTGTATGACACTTAGAACTTCAGATATATATCACTTACTGTGTGGTGCAGGATATTCTCTGAAAAGTCAATTGTCACTTGGCTTGTCAAAGAATAGCCCATTTTCTTTATGGAACCTGAAGGATCATCACCATGTTCATGAAAGCCCAGCAGAGGATTCTATCCCGAACTAACTGCATCCAGTTTGCTCCATCAATTCCTATCTCCCCAAGGTTCATCTTAATGTTATCCTCCCACCTACATCTAGGTCCTCCCAGTGATCTCCCAACCAATACCACGTGAACACCCCTCCGCTCTGCCATGCGTGCTGCATGTCCCACCTATCTCATCTTGATTTAATCGTCCTAACAATATTGGCTGAGAAGTACAGGCTGTGAACTTCAGATATATCGATTTTAAATTTT